CCTCCTGGGCTTAGGCAATTCCCTTGCCTCAGTCTCCCAAGTAGCTGGGACTACAGGCACCCGCCACAAGCCCGGCTATTTTTTTGTTGCAGTTTGGCCGGGGGCCGGATTTGAACCTGCCACCCTCGGTATGGGGCCGGTGCCCTGCCCACTAAGCCACAGGCGCCGCCCAAGCCCTATCTTTCGTGTCCCCTATAAGGTGGCTGGGGTAGGCAGTGGGACTCTGCCTGTCCTGGGCTTTCACCTGGCATAGTACCTGTGTGTACCTGCAGGCCCCCAGAGATTGAGGACTCTCAGCTGTGAAGCCAAGCTCTCCCTGTCACACCCTCTTGCCTTGGTGGCTCTGGGTTCCTGTTGCCAGTCTCCAGCACTTGTCTTGGCTAAACAGGGTAGAGCTGGGTCCTGGCTTTTGGGTGGACACAAACCCTGCTTATTGGAACCCAGGGGAGACTGCAGTGGTGGCCCCTACTCAACACTTTTCTCCAGGTCTGACAACAGGAAGCAGAAGGCCAGGGAGCAGAGATGGCCACAGGCTTGCCATAGCGTTCAGGGTTCCCAGCACACTGCTGGGATCTAGCCCTGCAGAAAAACTGATGGGCTCCCATTCACCCAGAAAGCTGGTATCACTTCCTCCAGCCTCCAGCTCCCATGGAATGAAAGAAGGGCTCGCTTCCAGACCCGGATGCCCCAGCACCACCCATGTCATTGCCACGTTTAACCTTTAGTCATCTGCCTCCCATTTTACAGAAGGGAGACCCAAGGCACAGAGAGCTGGGTGTAGCCTGTTCAAGGTCACACAGCGGGGTGGGGGGGTGGAGGAGCAAAACAGGGACTTGAGCCTTGCTTTGTCTTATTCCTCAGCCAGGGCCCTGAACCTCTCTGCCAATTGAGAGGCATCGTTATACAAAGACATTTGTCTCCTTGATAACAGAGTCCCAGAGCCACTCAGGGCCAGCAACTTGCATAGGCAAGGAAGACAAAAAGTGTGGGTAGGGTGAGATTTTTCCCCAGTGGCTTTTCCTGTGTCATCTGTTCTAGAACCTGGGGTGGATGGACCCTACTTTCTACTCTTTTGTAGATCACAAGGAAAGTGTGAGGACATGGGTGCTCTGAGGAGCTGCAGCTGCAGTGTTCAGGTAGCCAGTGTGCAAAGGGCTCAGCAAAAAACACAACAGACATGCATGAGTGCGGGGGGTGGGTGGGTGTGTCATGTGTGGTGTGGTGTGTACATGTGTGTGACACGTGTGGTGTGTGATGTGTAGGTGTGATGCATGTGGTGTGTGGAGTATTTGTGTGCCAGGAGCAAGGTATGGTTTGTACATGTGTATTTATGTGTGATGTGTGTAAGATATGTGATTTGTCTGTGTGGTATGATGTGTGGTATGTGAGACATGGATGCCTGTGTGGCATGGTATGTGCATGTGTGAGTAATATGTGTGGCATGTATGTGTGTCGTGTATTTGTCTGTGGTATGTGTTTGTGTGTAGAGTGTGCATGTGTGTGGTGGTGAGGTGTGTGGTATGAGCAGGGTCTGTATGGGGTGTGTGTGTGGTACTCCGTGGATACGTGATGCTGGGGGGGTGGGTGAGTGCCTGAATCTTTGGAAGACAGCCACTTGTGTCCCTTCTGCCCCTTGGGGCTGGGAGGGGCTGGGCCCCCCAGGCTTTCTGGGCAGGAAGAACAGCACTTGGCCGAGGGCCGCACTTGGGCCTGGTCAGTGGGAGGCTGTGTCCGTCTCCAGCGTCACAGGTCAACAGAAAAGACAGACAAACAGGAAAAAAGGAGCTGCCCTGGGCTGGGCCGGGCTAGCCTAGGCTGAGCCTCGAGGGACTGGGGGTGAGAAAGCACCTGGGCTGGGGGCTGTGGAGGACCCAGGTGAAGACGGGGCACAGTCTCCCCTCTCAGGCCCCTTGCACGTGGAGCAGGTACCTGGAAAGTGTGTCCCAGCACGTGTCATGTGACCGTGAATTCAGATGAGTGTGACTATGTCGAGTGTGAGTCTCAGTGGGCATACAGCTGCAGTGTGCAGGGAGACACATAAGAACCAGGAGGTTGGCTCCGCGCCTGTAGCTCAACCAGCTAAGGCGCCAGCCACGTACACCTAAGGTGGCGGGTTTGAATCCCCAGCCCGGACCCGCCAAACAACAACGATGGCTGCAACCAAAAAATAGCCGGGCGTTGTGGCGGGCGCCTGTGGTCCCAGCTACTTGGGAGGCAGAGGCAGGAGACTCGCTTGAGCCCAGGAGTTGGAGGTTGCTATGAGCTGTAATGCCATGGCACTCTACCCAGGGGGACAGCTTGAGGCTCTGTCTCAAAAAAAAAAAAAAAAAAAAAAAAAGAACCAGGAGGTTCCCAGCCCCCTTTCCAGAACAGGTAGTTGCAGGTGGGGGAGGAGGAAGAGGGTGGGGGTGGCCGTGGCTCCCACAGGACCCTGGAGAGGAAGCTGGATCTCACAGGGGCACATTAAGCCTTGGTTTGGCCCCTACCCCACCCCCTCCCTTCCTGTTCCTCATCTCGGGCCAAATGGCCAACCTAATTAAGGAGGAGGAGGGGCCTGAGTGGCCTGGGACGGGCCCAAAGAGGGGCAGAAAAAGCCTGGCTAGGGAAAAAGGAGTGACATTTTGGCTGGGCCAGGCCCACCCATTTCTGGCCTCAGTTTCCCCACTTATAAAATGTGGTGCTAAGTCATCTCTCAAAGCCACAGAATTTCATAAGGTGGGCCCTGCGGAGGGGTGGTGGGGGAGATCGTGGCTGGCAGGCACAGAGCCCACTGCTGGCCAAATCGGGGATGGGCTCAGGGCCCTCAGGAGTGGGGGGAAGGAGCCCTGGGGAAGGAACAGGGAGACATGTGGGAGGGGGAGAAGGAGGAAGTCCCCTCATGGGCAGGTCACTCCCAGAGGCTGGGTTTGGGCGGGGCAGCAATGGAGAGCAGATCCCAGCACCCGTCCACCTTCACGCCTGCCGCCCAGCTACCCAGGAGCCCACAAGCCTTGCCAGGTAAGGAGCTACAAAGGGGCCCTCTTGTGGAGTCCTCAGCCCTATGACTGAGGGCTTTCTTGGCCTCTATCGGGTCAGGGGTCTGTGTGTCTGCCTTGGGTGCCTTCTCCCAAATCCGGCTCTTTTGGGCTGCCTGGGGGGGTCCTGGGCACTGTTGTCTGTGTGACTGTCCCTCTCTACCTTCCCTGCCTAGGAGTGAGCGAGCACACACGCACTGACAGGTACCTGCCAGCCGGTCACCTCTAGGGCTCCCATCCAGAGACCACGGGCAGTGGGGCTGGCCCCTCCAGTGGAGGTTGAGTGTGTCCCCATCTCCCCCAGGCACTCAGGACACCTGCCTTGGCCCCACCATGTTTGTGGCATCAACCAACTCAGGTAAGGCTTCAGCATTGCACCCTGACCAGTGGACAGAGTGGGTCTGAGGGTGCAGAGAAGCCCCTTCAAAGACCTTCCCACCCTCCCCTCTGGGGCTGAGGATACAGTACCTCTTCCAAGCTGTCAATGAGCAGGGAGGGGAGAGAATGCCCTTCCCTCCTGGACCATAGGAGCCATATGTGCAATTCCCCAGACACACGGCTTCCTCAGAGGAGGGAGCCAGGATGTGGGTGTCAGAGGGGGATGAGGAAAACAAGAGTCCCAGGGTGGCTGCCCAGGCCACCAGCTCCAGCAGCAGGTGGGAGCCTCCTTGGGCCTGAGTCCCCTGCACAGCACACCCCCTAACTTGGCCTTCTCCCCCACCCCTGCCCAGCTGTGCCCAGGCCCCTCTCTGCACCCAGCCTGCCCGGCAACAGCAGCCAGGAGAAGCCACTGGATGCCCGGGACCCGCTGCTGGCCCAGGTAGAGCTGGCCCTGCTCTCCACAGTCTTTGTGGCCGTGGCCCTGAGCAATGGCCTGGTGCTGGGGGCCCTGGCACGACGGGGACGGCGGGGCCGCTGGGCACCTATGCACGTCTTCATCGGCCACTTGTGCCTGGCCGACCTGGCTGTGGCTCTTTTCCAAGTGCTGCCTCAGCTGGCCTGGGACGCCACTGACCGTTTCCGTGGGCCTGATGCCCTGTGTCGGGCCGTCAAGTACTTGCAGATGGTGGGTATGTACGCCTCTTCCTACATGATCCTGGCCATGACACTGGACCGCCACCGCGCCATTTGCCGTCCCATGCTTGCATACCGCCACGGAGGTGGGGCTCACTGGAACCGGCCAGTGCTGGTGGCCTGGGCCTTCTCTCTCCTTTTCAGCCTGCCCCAGCTCTTTATCTTTGCCCAGCGTGAAGTGAAAGATGGGGTCCTCGACTGCTGGGCCTGCTTTGCAGAACCCTGGGGACTTCGTGCCTATGTCACCTGGATTGCCCTGATGGTGTTCGTGGCACCTGCCCTGGGTATTGCTGCCTGTCAAGTGCTCATCTTCCGGGAGATTCATGCCAGTCTAGTGCCAGGGCGATCAGAGAGGGCTAGTGGCCGCTGTGGGGGGCGCTGGACAGGCACTCCCAGCGAAGGAGCCCGGGTGTCGGCTGCCATGGCCAAGACCGTAAGGATGACACTGGTGATTGTGATCGTCTATGTGCTGTGCTGGGCGCCCTTCTTCCTTGTGCAGCTGTGGGCAGCGTGGGATCCAGAAGCACCTCGGGAAGGTGGGTGTGGCTGGGTCATGGGGACCACTCGGGCTCAGCTGCACACACTCCTCTGTCCTCCATGGACACACACACCCAGATGTGGGCCCCATGAGCACTCATGCACTGGTACCAGCCTGACTCTGGATGCCTGGGAGCCCCTTGCCCGTACCCATGCAGACCACCCCAACTTGAGCCCTCTACTGCCCACTCAGGAACCAGATTCAAAGGCCTAAGTGTGAGCTATAGGCCCCTTATCCCTGCCTTGCCTGCACCCACTCTGCCCTCTTTCCCCTCCTTGGGCTCTGCCTTGAGCTTGCTTATCTGGTGGCAAGTACCCCTGAGCTGAGGGGCAGACTTGAACCTCAGGGAGGGAGGAGTTTGGTCTCTAAGGGGACTGCTGGCCTCTAGTGGGCATTTAGGGTTACAGCCCCACCCCCGGACACCCCACAGGGCCACCTTTCGTGCTGCTCATGCTACTGGCCAGCCTCAACAGCTGCACCAACCCCTGGATCTATGCCTCCTTCAGCAGCAGTGTCTCCTCGGAGCTACGCAGTCTGCTCTGCTGTGCCCGGAGGCACAGCCCGCCCAGTCTGGGGCCTCAGGAGGAGTCTTGTGCCACTGCCAGTTCCTCCCTGGCCAAGGACATATCTTCCTAAGGGGCTAGCAGGCACCTTCCTTCCAGAGGCACCATGAAACTCAGCTGCCTGGTGGGGATGCTGTCACAGAGAACTGGTCAGAGCCTGTGGTCCTGGGCACCCCTCCACCCCCAGCTGGTCCCTAGCTGTTTGAAGAAGTTTCAGGCTGCAAGACATGAGGACGTGAGGGGCTCCTTAGTTCCTCCATATCAGCTGGGCGGGGGACAATAGCAGAGGCCCAGACAACACAGGAGAGACAGAGATCCTTAGCAGCCAAAGAGGAAGGACCAGGGTGAGGCTAGGACCAGTCTATGCCTCTCTAGTCCTCAACTTCTTCTCTCCCTAATAAAAGCTGCAGCTAATTTTCTACATGGTGAGGGGGCCTCCTTCAATTAGGGTAATGGGGTGGGGTGGCGTGTGTGGCAGCACACACCCATGGGCACAGCTCGGGAAGCCAACATGCAAGCAACCAAACCTTCAAAAGTTGCAGGTCCCCAAGTGAAATAGCCATCACATGGACACCACCCAACCTGTTGTTTTAGCATCACCTCTAGCGTGGGGGTGCGGGGGTCCTGTATGTACCTCCCCAGCCCCTCAAGACAGACAGCTAGCTCACACTGGGGAACGAATTCATTGGTCTTTATGAATTGCGGCTCCCCAAACCCCCTGCCAGGCAGCTGAGAAAGAGCTCATCAGAGCAAGGGTGCCTGCCACCTAATGGCTGCTGCTGAGCCTTCACAGCAAGGCCTCCTTCCTCAGCTGCCCCAAAAGGGGCCTATGCCAGGGTTGGGCGCAGGCAGGGCATGGGCTGGGACCCCTATTTGGGCAGCCTCACCCTCCTCTGTACTTGGGAGAAGCAGAGGGCTGGGGAGAGTGGCCAGTCTCTGGTGGCCACCTGGGGCAAGGTCAGGCCCACAGAGACTGCACCTCAGTGTGGGTTGAGGGTTGAGTCTAGACCCTGGGTATTTGACACTGAGGGTGAAGCTGGGGCCCCAGGGCTACGGGAGAAGCCTTTGTTCCTGCCCAGGCGGCTACAGGACCCTGGGCTGGGGGAGGTGGCAGACACTGGCCTGAGGCCCTGGCGAATAGCCGTCTTTCCCAAGAGCTCCTGAAACACGGAGTCCATGTTCTGCGCCACAGCCTGGCAAAGCAGAGAGGGAGGGTGTTCAGTGAGTGCGTCTCCTCATCTGCCAGACCCTGCCCAGGCCTCTACCTAAGCTCCTCCCCCTCCAGAAACAAAGGCCTCCTGCCATTACCCTGTAACCAGGGCCCCTCCTTTCCATGGGCCACACAGTGCTCAGTGCTGGGCACAGCTGCCTGCCCCTCCTCCCTCAGCCTCCAGGCCACCTCCCCCACTCCACATCTGATTTCTCTCCTGCCACCTTGGTGTTTCTGTCACAATCTCCTTTGGGGACAGCAATTGCTTGGCCTAGTCCTGGGCTCACTTTCCCTGGCTAAGATCATATCCTACCCCAGCCTCATAGGCCATCAGCATGCAGGGGACGCCCAGGCCAATGTCCTCCCGTGGGGTCTCCCAGATACCCTCTTCCATCCCCCCACTGCCTGGCTCCTGCTCCTGCATGTCCACCCCACCTGTCAGACTCCCTTGGCCAAGGGCTGGTCGACACCTGGGTCACCCACATGCTCTTCGGCTCTCTCCTGGGGCTCAGTGACTGTCCCCACTAGTGCTCACAGAGCCTGCTGCACAGAGCAGGGAGCAGGGTCCCACAGGCTGTGCCCATTGTCGGCTATGCCCTGAGCCTGCTCTCTGCCCCATAAGAGCTGCTACTGCCCTATCCTGCTCCTAGCCACCCATCCCTTCTTGCCTCTCTGCCATCTGTCCCTTTCATCCTCCCCAACATGCCAAGAGCCTGCCATGTCACCGCCTGGTACCTAGCCTGGCTCCAGATGCCCTGGAGCCCCTCACCCATACCCATGCAGACCACCTCAATTTGAGCCTGCCACTCCCCACTCAGGAACCAAACCTGAAGACCCAAGCATGATCTACAGGCCCCTCATCCCCACCCTACCTGCACCCACTCTGCCCTCTTTCCCCTCCCCGGGCTCTGCCCTGGGCATGCTTATCTGGTGGCAAGTACCCCTGAGCTGAGGAACAGATACTTGAACCTCAGGGAGGGAGGAGTTTGGTTTTCCTCACCTGCCACCTTGCTAGTCCAAGCTCTTACCTTATCCACCTCCATGTGTTGTTCTGGGGAGGATGGGACCAAGCAGTGCCGTCTGTACCCAGAGGGGCCCACAACCGCGGGTAGGGTGCACACCTCTGGCCTGCAAGGCACAGACAGTGAGCACAGTGGGTGACCCTGGAAAGCCCTTGAGCTAACTTGGTAGTGACTCCTCCTATCCCGGGATATTGTCAAAGAGAAGGGGCTGGGCTCTGCGCCTGTAACTCAGCGGCTAGGGCTCCAGCCACATACACCAGAGCTGGTGTGTTCAAATCCAGCCCAGGCCTGCTAAACAACAATGACAACTACAACCAAAAAATAGTCAGGTGTTGTGGCAGGGGCCTGTAGTCCCAGCTACTTGGGAGGCTGAGGCAAGAGAATCGCTTAAGCCCAAGAGTTCGAGGTTGCTGTGAGCTGTGACACCACAGCACTCTACCCAGGGCGACAGAATAAGAATCTGTCTCAAAAAAAAAAAAAAAAGAGAGAGAGAGAAGAGGCTGGCCCCAGTGATCACCAAGCTCCTCTAGAGCCTCTCCCTTTCACAGTCAGGCTGTGACTCCTCCTTTCTCAGTAGCCCTTATCTGACAACCCCCAACCCCTACATGGCCCAAGCCTAACTCCAGCACCCTCTGGCCTGGGACAGTCCACATGATCTTCCTGTCTTTTCCCTTGCTTACCGATAGGTGGACTCCAAGGCCAGAAGCCCCTCTGGAGTGCTCCCCAGCTCCACTGTAGCCTGTGAGCCTGGGCCTGCCACCTGCTTCTCTGTCCTGGATGGGAGAACAGCATGGGGACCTGGGGCCAGAAGCCTAAGCACCAGCCAGAAGTGGTCTGGTCAGAAATGCCCAGCCAGCCCTATGGAACCTGCCTTGGGGAAAGAGGAGGGCAGCAACCTATATGTAGACAGCTGTGGCCTAAGCACCATGCGAGTAAGAGTAGTGACTTCCAGAGACAGGTGGCTAAGGGCCAGGCTGGGGCAGCCTTGGCCATTGAGGCCTGGCAGGGCTGGAGCAGAAATGGCGGGCTGTCCCTGCAGTGGGGCCCACTCACCCTGCAGGCAGCATGATGTACTTGTGAGGAATGAGTCCCCGTGTCCCAGCGTGCTCCCCTCGCCACCAGTCACTAGAAGCTCGCTCATGCAGCCGCAGCACGTCCCCACGCTGGAATGTTAGCTCCTGGGCAGTGCGGCCCATGTAGGCAAAGCAGGCCACAGCCTCCAAAACCCCCTCTAGATCTGAGGAGATGAGAGAGTCAAAGTGGGGATGGAGCAGGTACCTGGGGGAGGCAGGGGTGCTCCTGCCCAACTCCTTACCATCCTCCTGGGTTGTGGCCTCCGCTTCCAGCTCTGGCTCATGCTCCCCTGCCAGGCCCTCCAGCTGAGCATCCCTGGGGTTTGGAGCAGAGCAAGGCAGGTAAGGGGCCCTTCCCTCCACAGGATCCCCCCAGGCAGTACCAAGAGTGTACCCCAGGCAGCTGGTGTTAGGCGGAGCCATGCACTTCTCGTAGACAGGGCCGGGCAGTGTGGTAACAGCTGGGAACACCTGAGCAGGCTGCATGATCAGCGTCTGCACCAGCTGGTTCACCCGGCTCTGCAAGGCCACTGGGTCTTGCCCAGCAGGCACGGGCAGCAGTGTTGGCCCAAAGCACACGGCCAGGTTGTAGGGGTCCATCATGTTCTCGTCGCTGTACTGGGCCAGGCTGAGGGTACATATGGTTGCAAGCAGGGAGCTCCCACTTATTGTCCCCCCAGCCCTCACCCCAGCTCACCCCAAGAAGTACTCACTGGCTGAGGAAGGCAAAGAGGTAGCGCAGGACCACCAGCACTGATGGCGGCAGGCGGGCCAGCAGGCGGCTTACATGCTCCACGCGCTCTGCCACAGCCTCCAGCTCTGTGGCCAGGGCCGCCCCCCAAAAAGAGCCTGGTGAGTGGCACTGCCACTAGTGAGCATGCCCCCACTCAACCGCACTGGGCCCCAGCCTGACCTGAAGCAGCCACCAGCTCCCTGAACAGGTCTGAGGGGAAGAGCGGGGACTCCAAGCTCCGGAAGTAGAGCTTCAGTACCCCAGCCACCGAGTCCAGGTCACGGGCGCTGCAGCCTTCCACTAGTGGGTCCTCCCCTGCAGACAAATGATGTGGGTTGGGTGAGGAGGCCGAAGCTCTGTCCTCCCTCGCACCCCAACGCAGCCATCCTCACCTCTCTCAAAGGCATCTCGAATCTCTGACACTCGGGGCTGGGCACCTGACACCCGGAAGATGCCTTCGTGCTGCAGGCCTGTGGGAGCACAGGGAGGTACTGGGCACCCAGACCCACTTTGCCCTCCCAAGACTGACCCCAGGTCCTGCCTGGCATCAGGGCAGCAGGAGGGCCAGGACTGGCTTACCATGGAGGTTAATGAAGCGGATGCAGCTCTCCACCACCAGGGGTACAGGCTGGCCTGAGCTCTGTGGACAGAGAGGGTGTCCTGCCCTGTCACTCAATCACTTTCATTTTCCTTAACAATACATTACCATTGTCAGCATAGAAACCCAGCATGCAGTTCGCCAGACTCACTCTTAAGTATCTGATATTTATTTTTCTTTTCTTTTTTTTTTTTTTTTGACAGAGTCTCAAGCTGTCACCCTGGGTAGAGTGCCATAGCATCACAGCTCACAGCAACCTCCAACTCCTGGGCTCAAGTGAGTCTCCTGCCTCTGCCTCCCAAGTAGCTGGGACCACAGGCGCCCGCCACAACGCCTGGCCATTTTTTGGTTGCAGCCATCATTGTTGTTTGGTGGGCCCGGGCTGGATTTGAACCCGCCACCTTAGGTGTATGTGGCTGACGCCTTAGCCACTTGAGCCACAGGCACCGAGCCTATTTCTTTTTTTTTGAGACAGAGTCTCACTCTGTCACCCTGGGTACAGTGCCATAATGTCATAGGTCACAGCAACCTCAAACTCTTGGGCTCAAGTGATTCTCTTGTCTCAGCCTCCCAAGTACCTAGGACTACAGGTGCCTGACACAATGCTTAGCTGTTTTGAGAGATGAGGTTTCACTCTGGCTCAGGCTGGTCTCGAACCTGTAAACTCAGGCAATCCACCCACCTCCGCCTCCCAAGTGCTGGGATTATAGGCATGAGCCACCGTGCCCAGCTAGTTTTTCTATTTTTAGCAGAGATGGGGTCTTGGTCTTGCTCTTGCTCAGGCTGGTCTCCAGCTGTTGAGCTCAGGCAATCCACCCACCTCAGCCTCCCAGAGTGCTGGGATTATAGGCAGAAGCCACCACGCCCAGGCGTGTCTGACATTTCTGATACTATATCAGGTAATGCTTTACGTCTAATTTGCAAACTATTTATTGTTGGAATGTAAAATTGCAATCAAACTCTGTATGCTGACCTTGAATCAAGTAACACTGCAAAACTCAAATTTTGTTCATGTAAATAGCCTCTCAAGGTCAAGTGTAGTGGCTCATGCTGCAATTCCAGCATTTTGGGAGGCTGAGGTGAAAAGATCACTTGAGGTCAGAAGTTCTAGACCATCCTGAGCAACATAATGAGACCCTGTCTCTACAAAAAAAAAATTATTATCAGGGCATGCTGGAATGTGCCTGTGGTTCTAGCTACTCAGAAGGCTGACCCAAAAGGATTGCTAGAGCCCAGGAGTTTGAGGTCTCAGTGAACTATGAAGATGCTACTGCATTCTAGCCAGGGCAATAGAGAAAGACTATGTCTCAATAAATAAATAGCCTGCCAAATATTTTGAATGTTCTTTGTACATAATCACATCATTGCAAATGACAGTGTTATTTCTTCTTTTCTGATCTCTTTTGCTTCCCTTGTTTTACTGTCCAGGGTCCCCAGTAGCAGCATGCTGGCCACAAGTGGAGCTTATGGGCATCTTGTGTTTATCCCAGTTGCGGGGAAACTCTCAACATCACCCCCCTAAAAATGCTGCTGCCCCATCACTATTTAAGGATGCAGCTTTTAATCAGTGAAGGCCATGAGGGATACCAGCAGGGGCCTTTGGGCCCACTCAGCAAGAGAGAGTTGCCCAGTGGCCAAGAATGGAGGACACTGGGATCAAGCCACCACTCGGCCACAGAGTGTGCAAGGCAGAGCACATACCTGGATAAACTTCTCCATATCACCCCCAAAGAGTCTCTGGTTATACTGGGAGCTGGGGCGGGGGTGGTGGCTCTTCTGGAATTTTCTCTGTGTGTACTGGGTCCTATAGTAAACAAGAGCTCGCTCTGAGGAACGTGGGCATAGAGCAGAGGATGCCTTACCCCCAGCCTGGCTAAGCAGGGCTCTGGGCTTCTTGAGTTATTACAGAATTCACTGAGCAGCCTAGGTCCTTGCAAAACCCAGCCCCTCATGACAGACTCACCAAGAAATCTTCTGCTCCTCCTTGTCACCTGGAGATGAGAAAATGCTGGTCTGCCTCTCAGGCTGGAGGTCTTCAATGGACCCCAGAGAGAAAAGTGTGGCCCAGAGGCCCAGGGCCAAGGGCAGGAAAAAGGTCAAGACTTAGTCTCCACATACAACCAACTTCTTTGGGCGGCGTGGACCATGGACTGGGTAGGGTCCCCAGGCAGAGGAGAAGAGGGCAGAGAAGAAGGTGCCTACCTCGCTGTATAGCCTCCTGCAGCTTCTCATGTTTGGCCTGCAGCTTGGCGAGGATGCTCCGTCCACTCAGGAACTCCTGAAGCTTCTGAGAAGCCCAGAGAAGAGCCCAGAGTTTCAGTCCTGACTCTGGCCCTCCCTCTGCCCTCTCCACTCCCCTGTGTGCCCACCTCCTCATACCCAGCCCAGCCCTCCCCACCGTGAGGTAGAAGGTCTCTGTCTCCTGCTGCTGGCCCCGTCTACGGCCTGCCTGCCGGCTGCCTGGGTCTGAGCTGGTGGACTTGAGGGACTCAGTGGAGGGGCTGGTCTGGAAGGAATCAAGCACATCCCCATCCTCTGATGCCACCACCTCCAGTAGGGCCTGCAGCGTCGCCTTCAGCGTCTTGTTCACCTGGAGAGGGGACAGCACCAAGGTGGTAACAAGGGTGGGAGGAGATGGAGAACAGGAAGGACAGGTCAGAGGAATGGGGAAGAGGGGCTGCTGCCACTTGGGAGGGTGGTGGCCAGGGTGGCGAATTCCAGATCCCTGTCCCAACCCTAGGCCAGCTACCCATACCTCTTCTGTCTCTATGGTCTGTTGGTCCAGGCGGCTCTGGATGTTCTGGGCTCTGGGCAGAATCTCATCCCGCAGCTCCATCTCAACCTGGATCTCGGCCACCTGTACAGAGAGCCAAGCATGGGAGTGGGGATAAGCAGCAAATGCTCAAGGTATAAAGAAATCAAGTATACCTCTGCTGCCTGGTGGCTGAGTAGGCCCAACAGTCCTAGACACTTAAAGTGAAGAATGGTAAGGTGTCTTCCCAGGAGAAATGTAGGTCCACACCGAGACCCATCCATGAATGCTCATGACAGCATTACTCACACTAGCCCAGAGGTGGAAACAGTTCAGGTGACCACCAACGGGCAGGTGGATGGATGAGCCAGTTGTAGTCTGTCCACACAATGGAGCCACACAATTCAGCCACAAAAAGGCATAAAGCCTGATCCTTGCTACAGCACATAAAGACCCTGAAAGTGTGAGGCTCAGTGAAGGAGGCCAGGTGCAAAGCCACTCACACAAAACGCCCAGATAGACAGAAAGCAGGATGTTGAGTGCCAGGGGCTGGGAGAGGGGGAGTGGGCAATGGTGACTAACAGGTGCCAACTTTTTTTTCAGGGTGATGAAAGTGTTCTGGAACTAGATACTGGTGATGGCTGTACAACTCTGAATATGCTATTCAATAAAAACCACTGAATGTTACAGTTTAAATGGGTCAGTTGTATGGTATGGGTAAATTATATGAAATTACATCTCAATAAAACTGTTTATTTAAGATAGAATGGTAGGCTGGGAGCTGTGGCTCATGCCTGTAATCTCAGCACTTGGGGAGGCCAAGGCAGGAGGATCAATTGATGCCAGGAGTTTCAGATGCCTCACAAATATTGGAAGACCCTGTTTCCACAGAAAATTAAAAACTGAACCAGGCATGGTGGCACATACCTGTAGTTCCAGAGCTGAGGCATGAGGATTACTTGAGCCCAGGAGTTGAAGGTTACAGTGACCTATGATTATGCCATTGTACAGCCTGGGTAACAGAGTGAAACCCTATCTGAAAGGAAGGGAAGAAGGGAGGGAGAAAATAAGGAAGGAAGGAAGGAAGGAAGGAAGGAAGGAAGGAAGAGAGGGAGGGAGGGAGGGATGGATTCTAGACTAAAAGAACATAGAACCTCCTAGAGAGGCAAATCCATCTGCAAACAAGTACTATACCAAATGAGTGTATGACTGTTTCCACCAGTTCAGGAGGAAAGACCCCCACAATGCCTGATCTGTTCAGGAGTGTGGGTATGAGGTGGCAATAAGCACACAGCAATGAGCATGTGCTAGTGATAATGACCTAGAGAGCTAAGCAGTATTCTCAGCTGGAGTAATTATTAATCCAGAATAAAATGCAGAATTGTCTAAGGAAGGACAAGGAATCCTAATACAGTAAGTACATGGCTCAGATGTGAACAGTATTTGTTGTCATCGTAGTTTCTTTTTCCCAGGCTGCAGTGCAGCGGAAGCAAGCAATCATGGCTCAATGTAGCCTTGAGCTCCTGGGTTTAGGTGATCCTCCTGCCTCAGCTTCCCCAATAGCTGGGACTACAGGAGCATAACACCATGCCTGGCTATGATTTTAATTTCTTTGTAGAGATGGGGTCTTGCTTGTTCTTCATTGTTCTCAAACTCCTGGCCTCAAGCAATCCTCCTGCCTTGGTCTCCCTAAGTGTTGGGATTATAAGCATGAGCCACCACGTGTGGCCTGTTGTCATCTTAATTTTTTTTTTTTTGAGATAGTCTCACTATGTCGCCTTCAGTAGAGTGCCGTGGTGCCACAGCTCACAGCAACTTCAAATTTTGGAGCTCAAGTGATTCTCTTGCCTCAGCCTCCCAAGTAGCTGGGACTATAGGCTCCCGCCACAACGCCTGGCTATTTTGTTGTTTTAGCTGGATGGCCCGGGCCGGGTTAAAACTCACCAGCCTTGGTATATGTGGCCGGCATCCTAGCCGCTGAGCTACAGGCGCCAAGACTGAACATTAATTTAAGCCAAAAACTCTGGGATGACTCCATTGGGAGAACGAGACAAGGTGAAGCATGTGGGCAGGTGAAGGAGATGGCAATGGTCTTGACTCCTAATCAGCATGGAGGGTGGTAGAGCTTACTTGTGTGATGTAAACACTGGAAGACTGCAAGGTGGCTATTTCTGGGGTTGGGAATTGGGAGCAGGAAGGGTGAGTTAGAGTATGACCTCGTAAGCCCAGGGTAATGTTGAACTTTTAAAACTATAACTTTGGGGGCAGTGCCTGTGGCTCAGGGAGTAGGGTGCTGGCCCCATATACCATAGGTGGTAGGTTCAAACCTGGCCCTGGCCAAAAACTGCAAAAAAAAAAAAAATAAAATGTTTCAGTGTTGCACAAGTAAGATGTTAAAAGGCGGGCGGTGCCTGTGGCTCGGGGGGTAGGGTGCCAGCCCCATATACCAAGGGTGGCAGGTTCAAACCTGGCCCCGGCCAAACTGCAACAAAAAAAA